TAATTCTTCATTTCCAAACATCTTGATTACCTGAGTATATTCTTGCCCATCCTCTTTGAGCACCAATTCTCTTTTTTTCAGATTTATTCTCATTCTTAGCTCTGAGTCTGTTGTTACCTCCTTTGCTTTTTCTTGGGCGTGGTGCTTATGGCAGCCACATGGCTTCTCTTCTTTCAGGGTGACCACAGTCTCAGTAACTCCTCCTCGGGGCTTGAGGGGTGGGAAGGGCACTGCGAAGGAGCGTGTGGGACTAGGCTGGTTGGTGCTCGAGAGTAGTGTGTATGGGAGACTCACAACTGAGCTCTTCCGAGGTCTGATTGCTCTCATGCTCACGCTCAACAACAGCCAGGCATTTGTGATTATATGTCTTTTATTTATTGCGGTTATTCTTATGGATGTGAAGTGTCTTACTGTGGTTTTGCTTTTTTTTTAACTGTGTGACTGGAGATTGAATCCAGGAGCTTGCACATGCAAGCTATGTGTTCTGCCACTGAGCTACATTTTTTATTTTTTAGTTTGAGTCAAGATCTTACTACGTTGCCCAGGCCAACATGGAAAACTTGTAATATTTCTCCTTTGACCTTTGAACTAGCTGGGATTACAGGAACAAGCCACCAGGTCTGGCTTACTGTAGTTTACATATGCAGCCCTTTCATGGCTAATGGTTTTGAACATAAAAAGTATTGGCCATTTATATCTTGTCTGGATTACTGTCCATGTTATGTTTTAAAAATTGGGTTGTCTTTTTATTGAGTTGTTATAGTTCTTTGTGTATTCTGGGTTCAAGTCTCTTATCATACATACATTTCAGAGCTGGGCGTGGTGGCGCACACCTGTAATCCCAGCATTCGGGAGGCAGAGGCAGGAGGATCACTGTGAGTTCAAGACCAGCCTGGGCTACATAGTGAGATCCAGGTCAGTCTCAACTACATAGTGAGACCCTTTCTCAAAAAACTTTTAAAAAAAAGAAAGAAAGAAAGAAAGAAAGAAAACATACATACATTTTGCAATTTTTTTTCTGAAGTCCAATGTGGTTTTTTGTTTTGTTTTGTTTTTGCTATTGCTTGTGTTTTTGGTGTCATACCTAAGAAATCATTGTCTGATTCATAGTAATGAAGACTTACACTTTTTCTTTTGAGAGTTACCTTCAAGGCTGTGATCCATTTTGAGTCATATGTATACTGTGTATATGTGTGATTATATTATAATATGATGCACATACCCTATGAAAGATGTGTAAATTCTTTTTGCATGTAGATAGCAGTTAGATGAGCATCTTTTTTTTTTTTTTTTTTTTTTGGTACGGGGGATTGACCTCAGGACTTTGCGCTTGCAAGGCAGGCGTGGTGCCACTGAGCTAAATCACCAGCTCTGAGCATCATTTATTGAAAATACGTTTTGTAGGGCCAAAGATTTGGCTCAGTGGTTCCACTGCCTGCCTTGCAAGCACAAGGACCCCAGTTTGATCCCCAGTACCAAAAAAAAGAAAGAAAGAAAGAGAAGACTTCTTGCTAGCCATGGTGGCACATCCCTGTGATCCTAGCACTTGGAGGCTGAGGCAGGAGAATTGTTGCAAATTCGAGGCAGACCAAGCTGGCCTAATAGTAAGTTTAAGGTGAGCCTGAAATTCATAGCAAGACCCTATCACAAAACAAACAAAAAGCCCTTTTTTTCCCCTGTTGAATTATCTTCACATTCTTTTGGGGGTTTTTGTTTTTTTGAGGCAGGGCCTCACCCTATAATACAGACTGGCCTTGAACTTTATTAATGTACCCCAGACTAGCCTGGAACTTGCAGTGATCTTCCTGCTTCAGCTTCCTAAGTGCTGGAATTACAGGGGTATGTGACTCTGCCCAGCAATCTTTGTGTTCTTTGTTGAAAGTCAATTAACTACAAATGTGGGAGTTTATTACTAGTCTCTTGAGTTTCTCCATTTATCTGTGTATCTTACCTCTGGGCCAACATTGATGACATTGGATGATACAGGACCTCCAAATGATATGAGAAGTATTATAACTCCCAACCTGCTAGATGATCTGATATGCCAAGTTCATGTTCTCTAAAACTGAAGAATGAATTCTAGGAACAACAGTTTCCTAAGAGTAGGAAATATTTATTGAGGGAGAGAGAAGATAGCTCCTACCTGAGAAAGTCAGGAGGGGACCCAGAAAGTGGGTTGCTCGTGAGCCTGCTTCTCAAGTAAGTTTTATAGAACAAAATCATGATGATTTTGCCCATAAGGTGGGAAAAACCTATGGTCAGCCAGGCCAGGGATTTAGCTCAGTGGTTCTTCTGCCTACCTTGCAAGTGCAAGGACCTGAGTTTGATCCCAGTACCAAAAAATAAAAATTATGGTCAACTAATAAGATTACAAGTGTAGTCACTTAATACTGATCCAGTGGGGAAGCAAGTCATGTAGCACGTGTACGGAAAGAACAAAGACCTTTCCTGGAGGAGATGGTTCAGGAGGTTGTGATTCTCCACCCATCGTAGCTAATGCCTATTTAGAGTATCGATCATTATTGTTTATCCCTCGTGGAGATACGTAGTTGTAGTCATTCCATCTTTATATTGAGGCTGGTCTTCGACAAATGCATCTCCAACCACAATTGTAATATGTTTTTCTGCCATGACTTCCCCAGGAACTCATATTTTTAACTGTGGCAGGTGTTTCCAAAAGCATGAGTTACAGTTGATTTCACCTCTTGCAGTCATGTTTAGACAAGGAAGCATTGCTAACAAAACCAATTAAGATAGCTAAACCACTGCTTTCTAATTCTTTGAAAAAGAGTGAGGAAAATGGATCACAGGGCAAATTGGAGAGCTTCTCAGCCTGCAAAAGAGATGAGCTCTAGAGACAGATAAGAGTCAAATAAATGGCTTGGAGAAATCCCACCCAAGGCCCAAGGACAGAGAAGCCTCTAAGACATTTGTGCTGTCTACCTAATCACCTAGGCCAACTTCCTTAGCAGCAAAAACAAGGCTAAATTTTACACAAAATCCATTCTAAAATTTCTGTCTCTGCTCACAGGTTAGACGTACACCCATTGCCTAGCAACCACAATTCACATGTTAGTAAAAGCACATCCGTTTCCTTACATGCACATGAAAGAGGAAAAAGGCTGACTAAACTCCCTTTTAAAATCCCAGTTAGCATATACAAGCCACAAGTGTAAATTGTTATCTGATAGCCCTTCTCCTAACAGTTGTGGCAAGCTGCCTCAGCCTGAGCTGTGGGGTAGGGGGCAATTTAGCTGCAAGGTGGTTTCAGCTAATCTAGGAGTTCTAAAGTTAATTCTCAATGAGTAGGAGAAAAATTTAGGAGGGTTTTCTAACTTACTAGCAGAGAGAAAAGTCCAAACCTGTAGCTCAACTCTTAAAAGGCTTAAGAGAGTGTTCTAACAGTGTCTCTGGTCTTTCTTGGACAGAGGATAACAGAAGATCATTGAGAGAATGACCTCTCACCTCACTGAGGTAGGGATGATAGATAAATGGAGACTTCTCTACTGGTTACCCAGTCTGCCTATTGAGACCCAGCTTCAAGTGAGGAACCTTTGGAACCAGAGAGTCACGCTGGCCATACCACTCAGTTGTCCTCTCTGCTTTCACTAGTTCTGTATAACCTGAGATTTGTCTGTGGAAAGGAATCTACCAACATTCAGTTGGTTTCAAAAGGATTGGTCAAAAGGTGCCTTCCCTACCCTTTCCCCTTCTTCCTTTTTCTTTTCTTTGTGTGTGTGTGTGTGTGTGTGTGTGTGTGTGTGTGTGTGCGCGCGCGCGCGCCAGTGGTATTCAAGCAGGGGCACCCTATCTCTGAGCCACATCACCAACACGTTTAGTATATATTTTCAAATTTTGAGACAGGAGATCTCACTAAGTTAGTTACCCAGGCAGTACTCAAATTTGCAGTCCTCTTGCTTCAGTCTTCTAAGTGCTGGGATCATAGGTGTGCACCATTATGCCTGGCTTGATCTTTTTCTTCCCAATTTCTGTAACCTGTCCCTGTTTTCTCTCTTTTGTGGAAGATGATATCTCAGATCATCTTCAGTCATTGGTAGCATTTATTTTCTTCTGGCTTGTAAACTTTAAAACCCTTAATTATTTTAAGAGTGCTTTCTAAAAGCTCTTGACAGTCCCAGCCTTCTTTACTTTGGAGTTTAGAAGACCTCACTGACCAGCACTCTTATCACATTACCCTCTGTGTCCATCTCCTGGCCTGTCCAAGCCTGCTGTGCTCCTGCTGTAGCCTCTGAGTGGTGTCCATACCTCCACTTGCCTCCCTCCAGGTTATCTCTGCAGAGCTGCACTGTTCCTCTTCCTGAACTGCAAAGTGCTCATTACTATTCCCTGCTTAAAATTCCTCAGTGACTTTCCATGACCCTGAATATTTGACTCAATCCTCAGCATGACCTAGAAACTCCTTTATCATCTGGTACATCCTGAGCCAGTTTGTCATTTCTGCATCTGTGGTGCCTGTGAGTACCACCCTTTAGCCACTAGAGCATTCCTTTTTTGTGATGGAGCTGTCTTTCCCTTTTCCTTTGGATTTTTAAACATGCAGCTTCTCTTGTTTACATTGTTCCCTTTTCTAAACTCATCTCCTAGAGATTGTTCACACCTTAGACTTGATGACAATTCCATTGAGAAGCCTTCCCTTCCTATGGGCTCCCGTAGCATTTTCCTGTGTCTGATCTTAGGCATGTGGCAAGTATAGGAAGATTAAACTACTTCACATTCTCTATAGCCAGCAAACACAATTGCTCCTGTGTAATAGGCATGCAGTAAGTATTTAGCTTTAAGATATTTGTGTCTTATATAACTGTATTGTACAGACGCTGTATTATTGTTGACTTGTAATAAAAGCATTACTCTTAAAATATGGAAAATAGCCTTACTCAAAATACTTTATGTTCACAGATAATATTACTTTGTTTGTACTCATAGAAAAGATTGATTAGAGTTATTTAAAATATTTAAGTGTGATTATTTCCTTTATTTAGTTACAGCCAAGTTCCACTTCTGAATCTATGGATCAAGTACTAAACAAAAATAGAGAGGGAGAAAAATCAAGAGATTTGATCAAAGAGAAAATTGAATCAAGTGCTAAAGATTCTTTCATTGAAAATAGCAGCAGCAACTGCACCAGTGGCAGCAGCAAGCCAAGCAGCCCCAGCATCTCCCCTTCAATACTTAGTAACACAGAGCACAAGAGGGGCCCTGAGGTCACATCCCAAGGGGTGCAGACTTCTGGTCCTGCGTGTAAACAGGAGAAGGATGATAAAGAGGAGAAGAAAGATGCAGCTGAGTGAGTAAACCTGGAATTTAACAAATCCTATTATTCAGATAACTTGTTTGTTTGTTTGGTGTATTTTATCCTTTCAGTCTTTCTGGACTTTTAGACTGTTTTATAAAATTTATTAATTTTTAAACATCTGAACTAAACCAGTGTTGTCTTAGGCAAATTAGATCACTGCACCTTCACTACTCTTCTGTTTACTCCAGTTTGGTATTACCAGGTGAGGGAACTAGGCATAAATTCTAAATACCTGTTGTTTCATGAGTTAAACGGCTTTACAAGCCAGGTGTTGTGACACGAGTAATCTCAGTATTCTGGAGGCTAAGACAGGAGGATCACTGTAAGTTTGAGGCCAGCCTGAGCTATATAGACTCTGTCTCATAAAACAAAATTATAAAACAAAGCAAAAATACCTCAGACCCTAAACGCCATTGATTTATGTGTTCTGTCAACCCACTTATCACTGAATTTTTGAAATTACAGCTTTTTAAGTTGGGAAATTGCTTATTCTTGATTTGAGGCAAAATTTTTATTACAGCTATAACTTTTCTCAAGATATATTATGTAAAAAGTATCTTGTCACATTAAAAATGATTGCAGATTATAGAATACGGATACAGTGAGCATTGCTTTTCACACAATGATATGTTTATAAGGAGCTACTACCTTTTTAGCTCACGTATTTGTTAATAGCCTATAAGACAAGCAGTTGTATACTAATAATTTGTTTTTTATTTTGTTGTTGCTTGGTCAGCTTCTTTATCCAAATAAAGGAATGGATAATGTGGTGTGCAATGTGTGCATGCATGTGTATATTTTATATAGATTAATGGTCTAGTGAGAATTGTTTATATTTGTGTGTTTACCAATTTAAAAAACAGATTAGGTATGGCAAATTTTAGGGAAACACAAAGTCCATGAAGATTTCACTGGCATTTGTATTTTTTTCTGGTTCAGGCAAGTTAGAAAGTCAACATTGAATCCCAATGCAAAGGAGTTCAACCCTCGTTCTTTTTCTCAGGTAATTTTGTTTTCTTCTAAGTATTTTAAATAATTATAATTAGTTATTGTCTACCCACTCCCATACCTTGTCTTTTAAGTTCAGTTTATGGTGCTAAAACAGTTGTGTTTCTTTTGCTCATATGGGTCACTGGTGAATATTTTTTAGCCATAAAAAAGATTCTTGCTAGGTGTGGTGGGCCACTCCTATAGTCCCAGCACTTGGGAAGTTGGGGCAGGAGCATTGCTGGGAATTAGTCAGCCTGGACTACACTGTGAGAACCCTGTTTAAAAAAAAAAAAACCAAAAAAACTACATTCTTGGCTGGGGATTTAGCTCAGCGGCATAGTACCTGCTTGACAAGCATAAGGTCCTGAATTTGATCCCAGGTACCCCGCCAAAAAAAATTGGCCGTCAGGTTGTGTGAGGGAAAATTTTTAAATCTTTTTGACTCAGAATTTGAAGAAAATTAGCTAAGTGGCTATCAAGTTCATAGCTACACTGTTGTGTTTTTCTACTGAATTTATAAAATTTTTATTTTAAATTTAAAAACACTTTCTCTGAAGCTTAATAATAACTGCCACTATTTATAATGATTTTTTTCATTGGCAGGAATTTCCTTTAGCTCTCTACCAAAACATTTTTTTCTTTTGTTTAAACATTTATTTCCTGTGGTGTTTTTTGGTGGTTGTTGGTTTGTGTTTTCTAATTTTTAAAGTAAATAAAAATGGGCCACGTACTTAGCTCAGTGGTGCTGTGCCTGCCTTGGCAAGAGTAGCACAAGGTCCTGAGTTTGATCCACTGTACCAAAAAAAGTAAGTAAAAATTTTAAAGATTAGCAAAATCAACCTGAAAATTGCAATAATAGTTAACTTTTCACCACGAGATGGTTGAATTTAATTTTTCTTCTTGTAGCCAAAGCCTTCTACCACCCCAACTTCACCTCGTCCTCAAGCACAACCTAGCCCATCTATGGTGGGTCATCAGCCGCCAACTCCAGTTTATACTCAGCCTGTTTGTTTTGCACCAAATATGATGTATCCAGTTCCAGTGAGTCCAGGCGTCCAAGTAAGTCATGGAATTTGATGTTCATGCAGCTTCCCTGTTTGACACCAGCGTTTTTTAGAATTGCAATGATTTGAGGCATGTTCACATACAGAGATACTTGGAAAAAGGGAGGTATGCGGTGGTTTGGTCTGTTAGAATATGGACCTGTGACAGGGATTTAGCTCAGTGATTCTGCCGCTTGCCTTACAAGTGCAAGGTCCTGAGTTCAATCCCCAGTACCAATAAAAAAATAAATAAATTTTAAAAATAAGGACCTGAATCTGAGAATGTTTTCTGGTGAGAAAGATGAGTTAGATTTACTGTAACTTGTTGGAGTTTATCCTTTGCACTTGGGTGTAATTTTGTTTTTTAACTCCTAGAAGATGAGGAAACCCCAGGTCTAGAGGAGCTAGCAAGATAAAACTGACAGTGGTAGACCACCTTCTTGTTATAAGAATCTAATGTTTTTGTTTTTGTTTTTTAATTCCCTCAAGCCTTTATACCCAATACCCATGACGCCCATGCCAGTGAATCAAGCCAAGACATATAGAGCAGGTAAAGGTGAGAATAATCCTGCCTGTGTTTGCTTGTAGCCTGCATGCTGCATAAATTAAAACAATTCATTTATAATGTATATCCGTGGCTCAGCTTCAACTTTTGATTATGCTGTACGTTGAATTTTGATGACCAGTACTAAGATGTTTAGATGAATTTTTATGAACAAAAGGAGAAATGCCTTAATTGATTGTTCAGTATCTTATTTAAATATACTTATTGCATTCTGAACTTTTGGAGTCTGAAGTCTGAAATTTGTAGTTAAATTTGATAAATGAGGTTTGCTAGATTAATTTACTAGACAGACTGCTGACCTTATTTTACATTAGACTACAATTATTTCAACATTCATAATTTCTTTTGAAGCAAAGGCATTGTCAGAATCCTGCTAAAGGAATGTTTTCTCATTGTATAAACTAGTTTTCTGGACTTTTGTGTTTGAAAAAAAACACAAATCTTACCATGTTGAGAAATGCTAAAGGATTCCTTTTTACTATTCAGTTGTTGATTTAGAGCAGTTAATCATTATTTTTTTGAGAAACAAAGTAGGACTTATATCTAAAACATTTCTCAGTGCCCAATAATTATCTTTCTGACTAAATTAAGATTTCTTTCTTTTCCTTGCTTTCTTTTTTTTTTTTTTTTTTTTTTTTTTTTTTTTTTGTATTGGGGATTGAACTCAGGTCCTTGGACTTGCAAGGCAGGCCACCAAATCACTGAGCTAAATCCCTGGCCCTCTTTTCTTTTTGGAGACAGGTTCTCATCATGTAGTTCAGGTTAGCCTTGAATTCACTGTGAAGTCCTTGATCTCATGGCAGTTCTCCTGCCTCAGCCTCTCAAGTGCTAGGATTACAGGTGTGCTCCACCATACTTGGCCACATTAAGATTTCTTAGTGTTTGAAATAATTGTGGTTTTGTAGGTATTAATTAAAACTCATAATTACTTAAACTCACTGAAAAAACTACCTTAACCAAAATGTGTAGTGGATATATTGAGAAGTGGGGAGAAAATATTCACATGGGAAGAGGAAAAAGGAACAGGAACGGGGAAAAGAAGGAAAGGAAGGGCTGGGGATTTAGCTCAGTGGTTCCACCGCCTGACTCTCAAGCATAAGCATCCGAGTTCAATCCCTAGTACCAAAAAAAAAAAAAAAAAAAAAAAACCCAAAACAAAACAAACAAACAAGGAAGGGACAAGAAGAAAAGAGAATAAAAGGGAATAAAAGGGAAAAACACGGAAACAAAACTTATAAATAAGGAGGAGAAGATGGATTAAAGGGAGAGGAGGGCAATGGGGAAAAAAGGGGGACAACAAAATACATCTTGTACAGGTACAAATTCCCTATGATGAATGTGATCATTATGTATATTTAAATTGTACCAATAAAAATTATAGAAGTTTCAGGAAATGGCTGGGGATTTAGCACCACACCTGCCTCACGAGCACAAGGTCGTTAGTTCAATCCCGGGTAATGCAAAAAAAAAAAAAAAGTTGAAAAGTAAAGATTAGAGTGGAAATTAATGAAATAGAAATTTAAAAACAATAGAGAAATATTTTAAAAAGCGGGGTCATTAAAAAGATAAAATTGCCGGGTGTGGTGGCGCACACCTATAATCCCAGACTGTCTCAAAAAAACAAACAAAAAAAAGATAAAATTGACCAACCTTAGACTCTACCTTAGGTCATTTAAAATAATTCTTAGTTATAGGAATTAATCTTATCATGAGGACTTGAAGGGATTCCAGGAAGAAAAAGATTTTTCAGTGTGTCATTATTAAAATACTTCTGGTGTTTGGGAGTGTGTGGGTTTTGGGGGGGGTGGGGGGTACCAGGGATTGAACGGGTCCTTGCGCTTGCAAGGCAGGCCACTGAACAGCTGAGCTAAATCCCCGGCCCTTGTTTTCATTTTTCTAGTTCAGGCTGGCCTTTTATTCGCTATAGCCCAGACTGGCATTGAACTCCAGGTGATCCTCCTTCCTCAGCCTCCTGATTGCTGGAATTGCAGATGTGCACCCCCATGCCTAGCTTTGTTGCTGGTTTTTGTGGTTACTTAATACAGTGACAAAAGTGACTTGTGATAAAATGGAAAAGATTCCTACAATAAAAGCAGGTGTGCCAGTATATATAGCTCTCTGAAGTGAGAGCTGCATTCTGACCTCAGGAGTTTCTGTCATTTTCATAGAAATTATGTATCTTGAGGATAGTTCAGCCTGTCTTACAGAAGTGTTTCTGTTAAAACAAAACAGCAATACGGTCAGTGATACCTGCTATGAACAGGGCTAAGTACGTAGGAAGTGGTTAGATACTTGGTTTCATCATTCAGATTCTGTGATTAATAAGATTTTGCCATGTTTACTTTATGTGTCCTTTTTTCTGTGCTGAAGATTTAAAATAGACCTCAAAACCAGCCATGATCATGCACACCTGTAATCCCAGCACACTATCTGGGAGGCTGAGGAAGGTGGCTTTCAAGTTTATTAACCTAGTGAGAATTGCTCTCAAAAATTAAGAATAAAAAGGTACAAGGATACACTGGAGGGAAGGTAGCCTCTCTAATAAATAGAGCCGGGAAAATTGGATATCCATATGCAGAAGATTGAGTCTTAGACCCATAGATCTCACCACATATTAAAATAAATATAAAGGTGGGCAGGGGATTTAAGCTCAATGGTTCCACCGTTCATCTTGCAAGTACAAGGACCCGAGTTTGATCCCTGGTACAAAAAACTAAAATAAAATAAAAATAAATCTAAAGGTTAGGGCTGGGGATTTAACTCAGTGGTGCTGCTGCCTGCCTTGAAAGCACAAGGACCCGAGTTCAGTCTGCGGTACCAAAAAAAAAAAATGTAACCAGGCTTAGTGGTGCATGCCTATGATCCCAGTACTTGGGAGGCTAAGGCAGGAGGATCACTTTAGTTTTGAAGCCAGCCTGGACTAGACAGTGAGTTCCAAAAAGAAAATAGTGAAACTGTAGAAAAACAGTCTAGCTAGAAGCTGCAGTATGCCTTTACAACTCATCTCAGCTGTAACACGTTGATTCTGTGGGTGCTGTTGGTCACACAGAACATCCCTGGATAGAGTGTCTAGGGAGTAGAAGAAGCCGACTACCAGGCGGGTGTAAGCTCTATACCAGCCATCTTATTTTTATCTTCCTATAGCATGCATAAAATATTTTAAGAATTTTTATTGTCTAATAATTAGACTAAATAAAATCTAAAATTTTTCTGGAATTTTTTTTATCTTTGTATCTGTTTTACTTTTAAAAATTCTCTTAAGTACCAATTTTTAGACTGAAGAGTTGGTACTCTAGGTACAAAAGTACTATCTTCTGAACTCACTATGTGGTGACAGCAGCAGCTTGATCAATTAGCTATATAAAAATGACTGAATTTTGTGGGGGCGGGTACTTGGGATCGAACTCAGGTCCACGCACTTGTGAGGCAGGTATTGGAACCACTGAGCTAAATCCCTGGTGCTTTTTTTTTTTTTTTAAAGTTTCATGTTGTGTAGTGACTTTACATTGTGAAGTTTTTTTATTTTTGATTTTGTGGGGTTTTTTTTGTTTTTTGTTTTTGGTACCAGGGATCGAACTTGGGACCCTGCACTTGGGAGGCAGGCAGCAGAACCACTGAGCTAAATTCCCAGCCCTCATTATGAAGTTTTTAAAGACATTAACAACTTGTGGGCAGTCATACTTCATACTTTTGTTTCTTATGCCCTGTCTCCAAGCAAATCTTGGACACCATATCATTTTTCTGTCAGTTTGTTAGTGTATATCTTTAGGAGTTATTTGATTCTCTTTTTCATAAATCACATTTTCTTATTTGTTTGTTTGTTTGTTTTCAGACAGGGTCTCACTATGTAGTTGAGACTGACCTGGAACTCACTATGTAGCCCACGCTGGTCTCGAACTCCCAGTGATCCTCCTGCCTCATCCTCGCAAGTGCTGGGGTTACAGGCATGCGCCACCATGCCCAGCTATAAATCACATTTTAATTACCGTTTTCCCTTTAGTAAATCCGGCTTGCTTTTGTCCTTTACTCTTTCCTACCATATAAGTTGTGCTGATTGCATCCCTATGTAGTATTTAAAGTCATTTTCTGTATCGTATAATCCTTGTAGGCAGGTTATCATATAATGGAGGTTTATTGAGACTGGATCCGAATTTTTTAAATCAAAGGTGGGTGTACTTTGTCTTTTTTGCAATATAGGAGTGACCAATATGTTCCATTGCCTGGTCTATCCAGGATAACATTTCCCATAGCTCTTTGCTGGTAGTTTAAGCAGCTGCCTTGGTGATCATAGTGTACTATAGATCCAGTATTTCATTAGGTGATGCAAAATAGTGACATTCTCTTTCTTTCATTCCTTTACTTAGCTGGAATGTTTCTATGAAAATTGTACTTCATTTGTTTACCTTGAGGTATAACTTGTACAGGAAAGGCAACTGTTTGTTTTTTTTTTTTTTTTTTTTTTTTTTTTTTTAAGTCCCGGGGATGGAACACAGGACCTTGTGCTTGAGAGGCCGGCATCAGAACCACTGAGTTTAGTCCCTGGCCCTCTTCTTTGTTTTTTAAAGGCGGTCTTTAGAGTAACAACTTGGTTTCCCCTTCAAAGATGACCAATGTGGGGTTATCATTGCTCTTGTTTTTGGTATCTGTATTGACAAAGTTGTGCGTTTCTTCAGGTTATACTGCCACGTATTTTCTTTGTTCATGCCAACCAGGCTTTTCTGTGCCATTGTTTTCTCCTAAGTAGTTACTTTTGAAGTATTATATTGTATGTGAAAGCCGATGCAGTCTATATGTCAATTTTGTATCCTACTACTTTACTAATTTCTAATCACTTGAAATATTGGATAAAGGTATTTTAGTATTTCTCAGGTAACAGAGCCAAAAGGCATGGTTTTAAAATGTAGCCATGGATTTTTTTCTCCATGGTAATTAGATCTTTGCATAAAACCACTTCCTTGTCCTCTTGCTGTAAACTGCAGAGTTACCTTTGAGGCAGGTTATATTGAAAACATGCCAAAGACAAGGACTTAACATACACCCCAACTTTTTAGGCATGTGCTATTTACATTTGTTACTGATATTTTTTTGTATTAGGTGCTGCCATGTCCTATAAACTAGGATGCCTAGCATCATTCTTGGCCTCTATTCATTAGAACCTAGAGGTACCATCACCCATCCCTCACTTGGGACAACTGAAAATGTCTCCAGACATTGCCAGATGTCCCCTGAAAGACAGGATTTCTTCAAGGTGAGAACCACTGACACAAGAAAGGGCAAAAGTATACTTTATCTAAACTATAAGATTAAGGTAAGGGCTGGGAATTTAGCTCAGTGCCAGTGTGCCTGCCTTGCAAGCTCAAAGTCCTGAGCTTGATCTCTGGTACCAAAAAAGAAAAAAATTAAGGTAAATTTACTTTCACTGGAGGAAAGATAGTGTCTTTAGTAAATGGTGCTGGGGAAACTGGCTTTCTATAAGCTGAAGATTAAAACTAGAACTATATTCTCACAGTGTACTAAACTTAAATTGAAATGGGTCAAACAGCTAAATATTAAAACGGAGACACTATATCTGCTGGAAGATAGAATGGATAGAACTCTTGAAGACATTGGTGTAGGCAAAGTCTTTATGAACAAAACTATGATTTCACAGGAAATACTAGGAAAAATCAACAACTGGGATCTCATTTCCTTATAAAGCTTTTGGACAGCAAAATAAATCACCACCGGTGTGAAGAGACAACCCACAGTGTGGGAAAAAATTTTTGCCAGCTATTCCTCAGACAAAGGACTACTATTGAGAACATATAAAGAACT